CCACACACACCCACATCTAAAATTCATGCTTTATCATCTTTTCTGTTTTCGTTCATCTCTTACTTATTTTCCCCTTCCTTTTGTTTCTCTCTTTCTTTTTCTAAAGTAAAAAACTATGTAAAAATTAAAGAACGAGTACTATCGACAAAAAAGAAATAAATAAAGCAATAAGTACTTATATCTCCTGACGACGTAGTGCAACCTTTATATGAGTAATTTAATATGCTATAAAAGATTACTTACTTTATTTTTTCCGTTGCTAATTTCACTTATTATAGATAATCACATGTAATTACCTTATAAATAATTGTAAAAAGAACTTTTATATTATCAATATACAAAGTTAAACGTAAAAATTAGTACTTTCCTTATCAATATACAAGGACCACTATTTTCCTCCATTTTACATGTCGCTATTATTTTCCCCTAATCAGCACGAAATTTCGGAAGGAAGCGATAATCACTCCAACCTTCCCCCTCACCTCCCTATGGACAAAAGAAGAAAAAGGAAAGTAGAGTTTCAAAATAATTAAAAAAATATGATTCAAACACTTAAAGATTGCACACTTAAAAGTGAGAAGTGGTCTCTATATAAAGAAACAATCATAGCAAGTTCACAACACTAAGACATTATACAAATTTATTTCTTTTTTCTTTCTCTCATGGCTGCCATTAACAATCATTTCTCCTTCATCTTCCTCCTTCTTACCCTTATTTTTTCATTGCAAATCCATGCAAGAGAAAGTCAATTCTTAAACAAAATCTCCAGCAACTACAATGCTGAAAAAAAGACACAAGTAGTTATTCCCGACAAAGAACAAGAACCAAACTTCTTGCCTGAAAATGAAAATAATGGCTATGGCATATATGGTCATGAGTCTAGTCAACTTCCTCTTTCCACCACCACTACTAATGATGTAGAAAAACCCTACAAAGAAATCAACCCCACCACCACCTTAACTAATAATATTCACAATAGCAAATACCTTCCCAAGAATTACAACCATGTGGCCTATGTTACTGTCCTAAAGAACGATGACGACAACAACAATAACGATGAAGAGTACAAGAATACTGGTAGTATTAATAACAAGTACTACACTGGTGGCAGTACTAACAACAAAAACTACAACGGGGAATACTATATTGGTGGTAGAACTAACAACAATAACAACAATAACAACGAGGAGTACTATGATAGTGATAGTACTAGCAACAACAACAACGACAATGATGAGGAGTACAAGAATAGTGGCAATACTAACAACAAAAAACAATACTATAATAGTGGCAATACTAACAACAACAACAACGAGGGGTACTTCAATGGTGGCAGTACTAACAACAACAACAACAACCACAACAACCACAACAACGAGGGATACTTTATTGGTGGCAATACTAAAACTAACAATAACAACTACTACAACAACAACGAAAAGTATCATAATGAGGGTAGCACTTACTACAAGAACAACAACAACAAGGAGTACTACAATGGTGGCAGTACTAACAACAATAATGAGGGGTACTTCAATGGTG